AAGAGATGAGAAAGTGAACTCTTTCAAAGGTCTCTCTAGGTCCAGAGGGATGCTGCTTTTCCTCCGAAAGTCCTGATGGCATGCTAGATTAGCTATGGCTGATAACAGAAGGCCAGAGCTGCAGCAGGAGGGTGGCCAAGTGACCTCTGAGTAGTGGAGCTAGAAGCTCCAGTGGGAAGCACAGAGGAAGGCAGAGTTAGTGCCTGGACATTAATGGGTGTCCAGAAACAACAAGCACTCTTAAAATAATAAACATATAGTTGGGTCAGAGACTAGACATTGTAGAAACAGAAGGGATCCAATGTGGAAGCTGTTTGATATTGACTAGATCTGCCTTTTTACAGGAAAAGCGCCAGTGGCCTGGCCCAAACCAAGGACTGCGGGACTGACAACTGAGTAGAAGGCAAGGGGTGAAAGCAGAGGAGGACCTTTTCTTCTCTGCACCAACACTAACATTTTCCTGGAGAAGCATGAGATGGAGCATTCTCTGGGTTGGGTTTGGACTGACTCCAGTCAGCACTGGAAGGAAGAGAATAAAAATCCAATATTGCACGTTGATGATCACACTGAGACAGACCTGGTTCGTGGTAACTGATACACACAGGCCAGGCAGGGTGAATGATATCGGAGACCGGTGCCCTGGAGCACACGGTGGTTTTGCAAGGCGCTGCCTGGTGTGCCAGCTTCCTACATCACATCACGCGGGGGCAACCCCCCTGTTCAGGCCGGGGCTGTGGCTGCCCTGCAGTCTCCACTTGCGCTGTACCCACATCCTACAGGAAAACGTTTCATCTGAAGTAGGAAAAGAGAAGGGGAACTTCCTTCTCTAGAACAGGTGACAGATGTTTCCAAGATGCAGCCTGAGAAGCAAAAGATGGTTTTCCATGCCTTTCTTGTAGCAAGAAAGAAAGAATAAAATAGATAGTAAGCGGAAACATCCATCGACAACGGGCCTGGGAAAGGGGCAATCAGAAGTGAGAGAGGTGTTTAATCAAAATGATTGCAATTTAGCAACCCAGCACCAGGATGTGTCTCAAGAGATTCACCATCTATTTCCAGTTCTGCCACTAGCCTGCTGTGTGACCTCCAGCAAGCCCATTAGTGTCTCTTTGACAGGTCTCCTCTTGCTCTTTTCCTGTCTTACCTATTAGGTCACAAGCTCTATTTTTCCCCCTCAGGCACTGTCTCATGGAGTGAACTTGTTTAAACAAGAAGTCCTGATTCTGCATGGGGCTGCTTGTGGTTGCTGCCAGGCGTATGACAAAACTAGGCAGTAACCAGGACCTTGCGGGACAATGCTTTCAATATATCGATGTCTCACAACCAGCCACAAGCTTGCAGGCTGCATCTCATGCAAAGTTCTCTGCCCACCTCAAACCAAATGCACCATCTGTAAAATGGGCTCTGAAACACCCACCTGCCCTTAGTTTAAGGAAGGCTCAAACACAAGCTCATCCTACAAAGGGTGCTACAGCAGCTGAAAGTGCCATTAGCAGTGAGACCGCTCTTACACATTCAGAATGAAACCCCATAAATCTCTGCCTGGTTGGGAGCAGCTGCTTGGCTGGTTAGTGCGTGAAGCCGCTTTACCGCATGTGGCTGAGAGAGTTCAGAACGCGCATAATCACAGGGCCCCACGCTGCCACACGCATGGGCGCACTGCAGCTCGGAGGCAGACAAAGGGAAAGAACCAGGGAGCAGATCCTCTTCTCTATGTCTGCACAGTAACATGCCAGAACTCCTTACACCAGCATTAACAGGGACCAAAATTTGGCCACAGGAGATTCTGAGTCAGGCAGCCTGGAACAAGAGATACATAGGGATTTTACAGAGTACGATATTAGAGGAATACCATACTCTGGAGAAAGCTCTGAGCGTTTAAACTTCCAGAAAAATAAGGCTGGAGGGGCCTTCTAGGAGGCTCTTCTGCATTAAAGCTTAACTTTCAAATCACACAGTCTACATTTTTTGGCTTCCACAAAAACTATTACTGCCTTAACAGCTTCTTTATTAAAATGCCTTTACTCTCTACTTTCAGCAGAAGCTTAACTTTGCCACAGTCCTCTTATATTAAACATTCTGGGGACGCAATCATGGTTTTGGATGGCTATGCAAAAGTAACCATGATCAAGTAAGCTCTTTTTTTTTTTTTTTTTTTTTTTTTTGTCTTTTACAAATCTCTCCTTCCCTCTGTACATAAGACAGGGGCATCACGATGGCTTTGAGGAGTTGCTCTTTCGGAGGAGATGCTACAAAGACAAATTTGGATCCTGCCGAATACCAAAGGAGCAGTACTAAATTGTGACTCTTGGCTCAGAATTGCCTACTGCTTCTGACTCACAGTCACATTTAGCGGACAAGCAGGTTGGCCTGGGCCTGTGAGCCCCCACCCAGCGAGCAGGCCTTGCTTGTGCGAGCAGCCCGAGGCTCAGCCCTACGGACCTCGGGGAGCAGGAGCTCCTCGTCTTCTGCCCCTGCTGACCCCAGCGCAGGCACATCAGCAGGGCTCCCTGAATAACAAACAGCACGTTGCAGCTCTTAATGCCGGCACAAGGCTACACTTGACCCAGCTAACTCTAGCCTCTTCTGGCAACTTAGTAATACTTAAATAATTAATTACTAATAACGGGGGGGATGGGTGGTGGCTTGTTTTGTTTTGACGTCCAGTTATCCAAGGATGTGGAGAGAAATCCAGGAACTGCAAGTGAAAACTCAGGAAACTCTCTTTGCTAATTGTGGGGCTGTTTCCAAGACTGTCTTTTCTACCCATGTGATCACACTGTACCATGAACATTTTGGGTGTGCAAAACAGTAGTGACATTGTTATGCCTCCATGAAAGCTGGCTGCTTCTGTTCAGCCACTTGTTTTCATCCTTTTCCGCAAAAATACAGATAAGCTACAGATAAGCTGTTCCTTAAAGAAAGGGATTTTATTCCTACAGCATTGCTTCCTTTTGTCACTCCTATATTCAAGAAGAGGGAAGATCCAAGGAGCTACAGGCTAGTCAGCCTGACCTCGATCCCTGGGAAGGTGATGGAGCAAATAATCCTGGGAACCACTTCTAGACATATGAAGGACAAGAAAGTGATTGCGAGTAGACATATAGATCTCTGAAGGGGAAATCATGTTTACCCAGCCTGATAGCCTTCTATGATAAGGTGGACTTGCTGGATGAGGGGAGAGCAACAGATGTTGTTTATGTTGACTTTAGGAAGGCTTTGGACACTGTCTCTCAAACATCCTCAGAGACAAACAGAGGAAGAACGGACTAAATAAGCGGACAGTGGAGTGGACTGATAACTGGCTGAATCGCTGCCCTCAAAGTCCACGGAGGCCAGTCATTAGTGGCTTACCCCCCAGGGGTCAATACTGCTCAACGTCTTTATTGATGAACTGGATGATGGGGCAGAGGGCACCCTCAGCAAGCTTGCAGCTGATACAAAACTGGGAGGGGTGGCTGACCCACCAGAGGGTTGTGCTGCCATCCAGAGGGACCTGGACAGGCTGGAGAAATCCGCAGGCAGGAAACTCATGAACGTCAACAAAGGGAAATGAAAAGTCCTGCACCTGGGAAGGAATAACCCCATGCATCAGTAGATGCTGGGGCTGACCAGCTGGAACGCAGTTTGGCAGAGAAAGACCTGTTGATCCTGGTGGACACCAGGCTGAAGTCCGCAATGCACCCTTGTGGCATGGAGCACCAACAGCATCCTGGGCTGCATTAGGAGAAGCGTTGCCAGCAGGTAGAGGGAGAAGATCCTTCTCTGCTCAGCACTGGTGAGACACATCTGGAGTGCTTGGTCCAGTTCTGGGCTCCCCAGTACAAGGAAGATATAGACTTACCGGAGCGAGTCCAGTGAAGGCCCACAAGGATGATTTAAGGGACTGCAGCATCTGACATATAAAGAGAGGCTGAAAGAGCTGGGACTGTTCAGCCTGGAGAAGAGAAGATTCAGGGGGATCTTATCGATGTGTATATAGCTGATGGGAGAGGATAGAGAAGGTGCAGCCAGACTCTTCTGAGCGGTATCCATTGAAAGGACATGAGGTAACACACAATTTTAAATACAGAAATTCCATTTAAACATAAGAACCTTTTTTTACTGTGAGAGTAAACACTGGAACAGGCTGCCAAGAGCGGCTGTGCAGTCTCCATCCTTGGACGTATTCAAGACCCAGCTGGACATGGTCCAAAGCATCCAGCTCTCGCTGACACTGCTTTGAGCAGAGGGTTGGGGACTAGATGACCTCCAGAGCTACTTGCCAACCTCAGCAATTCTGTGATTCTCCAGTCTTTTTAACTTTGCATTCACTCAGTGACTGTAATCAAGAATCTTTCCTCTGTCCTACACTGCTCTCTGAGTGTTGTCCAGCTAACAGTCATCGCAACAGCGACTTTCCCCTGGGACTTCATGGCATCTCCTGCTCTTCCTTCTCAGAAGGGAGCTTGCAACAACTCTGGGGGCAGGAGGGTGGCTCTTTCATCATCTGGGAAGTAAAGGACGGTTTTGTTGGTGTTGGGTAGGTTTTCTCAAATAGGAAAGCTCTGCAGTATTTCCTGATGATGGTCACATTCTGAAATATCCAGTTATTTAACAGCTTCCTTCATCTTAGTAATGCTTTAACTTTTCTTACCAAAAGCCGTACAGGTCTGCTCCCAACTTTACTTTCCACCTATGTGTTTATCCCCCCCGTCTTATTAAAAACAGGATCATTCTCCTTATTAGGAATATATTCAAGCGTGTGAAAATACAGTATACTCTAGTGAGTTAGCTTATTTCAGCACAGACTGCTGCCTTTAAGGAAGAAATTAAAGTACTTGTGCTCCAAAAGATGGGGAATGTCCACTGAAAGTTGCTACTTCTCCCAAATCTTAACAGAGCAAAGCTATCTGCTTCTTCAAATCCAATCCACAGAATTTTAGAGTTTTTTTTTCTTAAATAGATCAGTTTTATATAAATAAATAAATAAGAATCATGCGAACAAATGTAGGACTTACGTATGATCCATAATTCACTGCTAGAGTCTGCAAAGCCCACGGGAGGCCTAGGCCAATTAAAATATCAAAAACGTTGCTTCCGATAGAGTTGGACACAGCCATATCCCCCATACCTGCAGGAATGGAAACCATGTACAATCAGACATGTCTCAGAAAAGTATTTTAAACAAAAATACATTAATCTGAGCTAATCACAACAATTTTCGCAGATTAAGGCAAAGAGTTAAGGGAGATTCCCCTTACCCCATCCCTTCCCTTTCCGCTCCCCATCGTACAAGGCCAGCAGGGTTGAAGGGGCTGAATCCACCTTCTAGGATCATCTGAGAACTTCCCCCAGCTAATCCTCTGCTGCTGTGGGGACCCTGGCCACTGGCTGTGCTGGCTGTGACCTGCCGGCACTCTTGTGCCATGGTCAGTGGGGCTTTTGATGCTTCACTGTAACCAGGACACGTAAGTTTCTAAACTGGACTGATTACATTAGGTCTCCTTGTAGTCTAATAAGTAGCCGGTTGTTTCAATGAAGAGCCACTGTTTTTGTTTCCCAAAGCAGTACTGACAACTTTCTTTTTCTCTTCAAACACCTGTTGCTGGAGTCACAAGGAGAGGGGAAAAAAAAAGTCTTCCTTAAAAACAGTAGTATCTTTCCAGTCCTTATGACTGTGGAGAAAAGCTGGAAAGTGACCTGGAAGACCCTTATGCCATGTTCTAAACAATTCTACACCACCGATATTTAAATTAAGAAAAACATTGTGACTTTTGGGGAAGGCCTGAAGTTGACAATAGTTGACAATTTGTTCCACACGGTCATTAAGAACCTGTTAGCTGCTTTCCAATAGCAATATAATTAATTTCCTTTGTTCTTGTTCTAAATTTCAGCCTCAGGAAAAAGGCTCTGTATGTTTTCACATTCAGGACACATGTGTACTACCTGAAGAGGAAGCGGACACAAGGGAACACTTCCATAGCAGTATGACACCTCTGTGACGAACCTACCTTGCCTTGCTACGATAAGGCTTGCCATGCAGTCCGGCACACTGGTTCCAGCTGCCAAGAAAGTGATGCCCATGATCACATCTGGAATTCCCAGTGTGTAGCCAATGATTGTCACCTAAGGAGAGGAAATAAACTGTCAAGCTGTTTAGATTAATTAAAATCAGAGACCAGCTTGGCTCAATTCTGCAAGATACCGTGAGACAGTTTATTGCTCAGTGCAAACTCACACTTTCTTTAAAGAGAAGCAGTGACAGGCTTTTTTGGTATATTCATCACCTGGCAGAGGACAGCACTGACCTGCTATCGACCTTCTTTGGTTAGCTGCTTCACACCTTTCATCCACAATTTTCCTGACACTAACCTGGAAAAGAGACTATATGGTGGCCCACTACCCTGTGTAACGGTTTCCTGATCTTGGCTGAAGTTTGCAGACATTATTATATACAAATAATAGCTAAGCAGACACTAAAACAACCTCATGGTTCATTATACTACGAAAATGTCATATGCAGGGACATATCCCCAAGTGACTGCAAACAATTCCCATTGGCAGAGAGGAGATACCTTTAATTTCCTCTTTCCTTTGCTATGCAGTCTATGATAAATTAGTGCTCTTCAAATTAATGAATATTTTTGAATTTTGGATGCCTTTGTCTAATGATTCCCATTTCCTATTAGCCACATTTAATGGCTCTTCTGAACTCTCTGCAGCATCCTCCAAGAAATGTGAACCACATGTTAGAAGCAGCACAGTGATCCTGTGGGCTCTGGTATTTCAGCTATGGAAAGCTGGGATAGCTTTTTTCTTGAAGAACACCTCATCCTCGCAGATGAAAACACGTAACTTTCTATTTCCTGTTCAGGGTGACATGGGTCATTGAAAACAAAACAAAATAAAACCCCCTCTTCTGTAACTGCTTTGATTAGTTTGCAGGGAAAAGCCTGGCATTCTCATTTTGGCATTTAGTACAAGAACAAATTGCGAAGGCAGTGAGTATTTTTTTGGTGCCTCCCCTCTCCCAGCAGGGAAGCAGTGGCCAGTGCTTTAGGCAGGTATCTCCATGCTCTTCGGGCCCCATGCCGAGAGAGACCATGAATTGTGCACTCCATCGCAAGTGCAGCAGCCCAAAACCAGGCTTCCCCTGTTAGACCCTCTCCTGATGCCAATGCCCCGTCATTGTCTGATTCTGCCCAAGAGTGCAGACTGCCCCAAAAGAAACACAAGTATTACTGTAAGCCTAACGAGGACAACTTACACTTTTCACCTATACATATCATCTAATGAGGCCTGCAGCAAGCTAACAGGCTCAATGATCCAGCCAGTCCACAAAACTTCCCCCCTGTGAACAGGCCAACTATGCTTGGACTTCCTTGTGTTCATTTTTATTTATCCCCTTCTACCCTTAGGATAATGAGGTAGAATTAAGTTCCCATTGACTAGAGTAGCTGTCCTACAATTTGGCTGAATGTTGTACTTTTATTCATGCTGAGTTCAAAGTGTTATCATTCACAACTCTGTCTCTCAAGCTTGCTTGCTCCAAGAAAAGGTAAAAGCTACCGAGGACAGATTCTTACTAGGGTCAGGGCCTCTTTACACTGCCCTGCATGACTAGGAGGTGTTAAATTGGTGCAAGTGTCATTTTTTCCCCACGTTAAAGAATCTGGGTGAAATTCCATCCCTGAGTCAAGTTCAAAGGCCATGGCTACTGGCCCCTAATTTTCTTCTTTCAGTGTGGACAGGTCTAATAGAAGTGGAAGCAGACTCAAGGTTTCTCATTTAAAAAAATCACGCATGTAGAACCTTCTACACATTTCTCTAAGCTGACAAAACCCACTTCTGTTGCCTCTCCCAGGCTGTGGTTTGTGCTTTAGTTGGTACGTACCATCCACACCATCATGTAGGAGAAAGCTGCAATCCAGAGGGTAGAAGAAGCAAAGGTAACCATGAACCATTTTTCCAAGTGCGGTTTGTTACAGTTGGGCACTGTGAAGTACAGAACAAAACTCAATGGCCATGTGAAGAGCCACTTCAAGATTTCTATCTTGCCAGCTGTAAAACAAAAAAGGGAAAAACAATCACAATTCTAGTCTGCTTTAGTCCAGAACGTTATTATTTTGTTAATATTAACAAGCACGATGCCAGGGACACCTCAGCCTAACTGCTATTCAAGCAGATAATGATAAGACATTCCTTGTTCAGAAGATCACGGTGTGATGGCAGAGATGGGAGGGCAGAGAGGGGCACAGGGAAGGAGGATGAAGTGCCTCCCTGAGAGTTCGTTAAGTCATGTGTCAGAGCACACCTGCTACCCTCCCTGGGTCAAGTTTTTACAGGTACCACATAAAAAGCAAGTTCTAGAAAGAGATCTGATCCACCTTCAACCACCTAATGGGAGGGTACAGAACAGATGGAGCCAGGCCCTTCACAGAAAAGCACAAGGAAATTATAAGAGCCAATGGGCTCAGCTTGCAATAAGGGAAATTCAGAACAGATGCTACCATAAGTTGTGCGTTTTCTTTTTTCCTATCATGAGGGTGGTCAAACACTGGAAAAGGTACGCAGAAAGACCGTGGGATGTCCATCCTTATAGATAATCAAAACAACTGGACGCAGCCTTGGGCAACCTGCTCCGAGCAGGGGTTTGAACCAGAAATCTCCAGAAGTCCATGCCAACCTTTCCCATACTATGAATCTAGTGTCATGGTCCACAGGACATCCAAATTACTCTCTTCAGGCTCGGTTTTTTCCTTACTCAAACTACAGCTATGCTGTTTGAGTGAGATCTGAACAGTTCTCAAAAACGTAGCTCACCTGTAAAGGGCAGGACCCGTCCCTACAGTATTCTGGCTTGTCTGCAACACAGCAGATCTTGCCAGCAACACAGCACATCTTGCCAGCTGCGGCAAGTGTGAGTCAAAGGTAGGGCAGGGATACGTAATTGGGTAAGAGGGACTTGGCAAAAAGGAGATCTCCAACCTGCAGGTGCGGTGCTCAGCAACCTGAGGCACCCGTGCTTTTTCACAAGTCACGCAGCTGTTCTGACTTTCTAAGCCCTCCAGAAAGAGTGAGAAGACACTGTGGCTGTGCCTAGTTAGCAGCAGGAAGCAGAGGTGCCCAGGACATTCCTTTGTTGCCGCTCCATATCAGCACCACCACTGCCTTGTCTTCGCTAGCACTACACCTTACCCCAGAGGTAAGAGTGCACCTCATTTCCCAGCAAAGGTAAGGCCTAGACGCAGACACACCTGACCTGCGTTCAGGCACCCTGCCAGCGGCCCCACCATCCTCAGGTTCCTCCACAGTCAGCAGAGAGAGATGAGCCCCTCCAGAGGGTGACGCGGGTTTTGCGGGTAGGAACCACCCTGTGGAGATTGCTGCTTCTCCCCTCTGACTGCAGCAGCAGCACCTGGCCAACGCACGAGCTGCAGCAGCGGTGCGTCCAAGCCCAGGAGCCTGCATCCTGAGAAGTTCCTGCTGCTTCCCAGTTCCTCTCATTTTTTACCTGTGACCAGTAACTACGCTGGGAGGTACAGGCTGATGGGAGCTCTCAGAGACACTTCTACCTCAACACACATCTGTGATGCTTTCCGGCACACCCAAACTGAGTTTTGCTTTCTGGAATAACACAAACCCAGGAGCTTCTTACTGGGTAAGTCAAAAGGTGTGTATGGCCCTTCGTGGTCATCGTCGTCATCATCTTCTTCCTCTTCCTCATCGTTTTCATTGTTCTCATTATCCTCATTCTCGTTCTCCGTCTCGTTCCCAGCCTCAGCCATGTCCTCGTCCCGCCGTGTGCCGTTGACGCCCCGCTCGGCGGAGTTGCTGGGGCCCGTTCCATTCTCAACCACGTGCTTGATTGGTATTTTGATTGCTACTTCTGACTCCCCATTGGTGTAAGTCCGGCTGTTGATCAGCCTTTGTCTCTGTAAATACAGGCACAAATTCTTGCTGAAAGACAGATTTTTTTAAAAATTTGACTTTTTAAAGAGAAAGGCAGGAATAGAGAATGAGAGAAGTGCAGAGTTCTTTCAAAATTTGGCTTTAAAAGCAAAATGGAGGAATTTGGATCAGGTATAACACGATGCTTGCTTGCAGATGACTAGATAAATCTCACAAATACAACTTTTATAAGAGAAGGACCAGTGGCTGTAGAATTGACTGCAGGAGTATTCCAAGACCAAGGCCAGACTAAGTGCAAACTCAGTGGAGTATCATATTATTAAATAAGTGCAAGCGATATTAATATCAGATCAATGCAGGGGGCACCTCTTGTGAGCAACAGCTACAGGTAACATAACCACATAATGACTTGAAACTTTCTCTGCTAAAATCTCCATGGGAACAGATGGGGATGATTTAGTAAAGTCTGTGTCAGAAGGATAAAATCCGGGAAAATGCTATCAGGGATCCAGAAAAAACACAAGAGTTCTATTTTTGACCCAAACACTGCTACAGGAAAAGGCAAATTCAGAAGGAGAAGGGGAGGTGGGGGGAGATAAAAGACATACCTCATTGATTAACATGCGGCTGGCCATGGAGAGACGTGTTTTGGGAGGGAAGTGGCTGGTTATCATGATCCGGAGCCCAGCCTCAGAAAATGAAAGCTGGTGTGGGTATGCAGACAGCAGCTCATCCACCATGATCACCGAGGCTTTACGGTGGAAATTTCCTGCAGCCAAGGAACAAAGAGACATTGAGGTCTCCTTCCAGCAGTCTCTCTCTCTGCCCTACGTGGCTCTCAGAAGAATAAACCTGCGGGTTCCAGAAGTCCTTTGTAAGAACTTCAGCTACCACCATTCAAAACATGCCTCCTCTGTCCTTAATTTCTGTCTTTAAATAAATCGCCAACATGGTATCTCCACTCACGCTCATTACAGAGGATTAAATCTGCTCTGCACAGTTCATCATAGGCCTGTGTTAGGCACATCACTGCTTCCACAGCAGGTATTCCACCAAGGTAGAAATGGTGCTGTGGTAAAGCTGCCTTAATTCCACTGTTACAACCTGCGCTTCTGTGAGGATATTGGCCTCGCCCACCATTAACTGCACACGGGGGTGAGGAAATTGTCACTGCGTTCCTGCGGGGTACCCACGCAAATGAAAAGCAGGTTCCCGCATCCTGGGCTTGCAGCCCATGGCCGGGAAGTGCCATCAAACCTGGCAGCAAGCGCACGTGCCAGTCCGTGGGGTGCGACCCACAGCGCGGGAGCAAAGGAACAAGGAGACAGGGGCAGGTACCTGAACCACGCTCCACTGGGGCACAGTGCCAGTGCCCATTGCCTCTGGGGTGGCACGGTGCCAGCGTCCATCCTTTCTGTGCCTGGGTGCTACCGCGGGCTGTGAATTCTGGGTCAGGACTGGGACTCAGCAGCAGGGAAACCTGAGGTCTTCCCTGACCCATCTCTGCTTTGGTTTATGAAAATCAATGCTGAACGCTGGCAAGTGTTTCACGGCATTACTATTTATTGCCATCACCGTTAGTCTCACAGAAGAGTATCTCCTTGGCCTTAGTGTCACTTTTTTTTCTGACTGAGGTTTCCATGGATTGGGGTAGATAAGTGGGGTCATCTGTATTCAAAAAAAATCAGAAAAGCAAGACTGCTTTTCCTTGTGACTTTTGCATGCCGGCATTTCCTGCATGGCACTTGGGGGAACTGCCCCAAACGCAAAAATCCTTCTGTTTGACTCTTTTTGGTCCTCTGTTCAGAAGAGGCCTCAGAAAACAAACGGTAGTGTCTGAAACCCTCAGGCAACCTGGTGCAATAGGTGCTGTTTGCGACCCCATGCTACTGGCTGGTGTGCGCAGCAGCGCCTGTCTGGGCCTCCGGTGGCCCACTGCCAAGTAAACACAGGAACAATCTGCAAGAAAATGAAGCAATCCTTTTGTCTTCCTTCCTCAGCCAGTTTGAGTAACCGCAAGTGTCCAAAACAAAAAATTACCAGCAGCTGAGCAGTGTCATGCAAAGACGCATTCTGGGGAGATTTAAACCAAATCCCACAATCAGAACTGCCCCATTTGTGCGTAATCCTGAGGCCACCGGGTAAACCTAGATGACTAAGGCCTGAGATAGCTACAGATAGCTGTTCCCATAAAAGCAGCTTCCCCAAACCAGAGTGCACAGCGCTCACAAAAGCCTTCCCTCAGCAACGGGGCAGTAACACGACAGGTGGCCTCTGGCAGGCTCGAAGGGTTTGATGTCAGCAAATGAACCCCTCTACATTTCATGTTTTGTTGCTTACTGTATACAGACTATGTCTTTCCGTCACTGTTTGCAGGAAGAGAGACCTATTTTTCTTAATTTTTTTTTAGTCCAGAGAAACAAAAAGGGCAGCCCATCTGTAGTCAGAGACCAGGACTGCTTTAGACAAGACAGAGCTCCTTCTCAGATTAAACCAGTGACTGGAGGGGGGTGGTGTTATTCCTGAAGATAGGTGCATATAAATCCCAAGCAGCTACGGCACATCCTTGTTGACTGTTGCAAGGATAAAAAAATTATCCTCTGTAAATACTTTTTAGCACATGCTTGCAAATGCACACATGGAGCTACTGCTGCTGAGCTACGGAGTGGGTGAATTTTTTTTAAGCTGAAGAAATACAATCACTTGTATACATGATTGTGACTGAAGTCAAATGGGAGCGGATTTCGGCCAAAGTGAAATCCAGTCAAAGATCGTTTACACAGCGAAGTTGTGCACATTCAGGACAGCACGTGCAGTAAGAGCACACTACCGAGACCAACACGGAGTCCCCACCCTCCCTTCACTGGGGGGAAAGCGTACGCTAGTATAAGTAGGGCCTTTTTCTCTGCTCAGTTTATGCTGCTTTGGAATGGAGTTAAATTTAACTGGAGGTACTAGATGTAAATGGGTATCTTCAGTGCAGAGTAACAGTATCCACAGAAGGACTTCCAATGGCATGGCTGTAACAGTCTAAATAAGTAGCCCCTGGGCAAGTCAGGTTTGAAGATGGAGGAGTGCTTTCAGCCAGGCACTTGCTCAGCAGCAAGAACTACCCAGAGGAGGCCTGAGCTGCCTCCAGCAGCAAAGGATGCGGTGGCCGGGGACACCATGCCGCGCTCCCAGGCACAGGAGCCATGGCCATCTGGCAGGGGGGGTTACAAAAGGGCCACCTCCCCGCCTATTTCATGGCTGATAAACAGAAGCAGTCCACACCGCGTGACTAGTGGACAAACTTGTAAACATTTAGAATGATGCAAGTAAGCAGGGTGACTTACTGGAACAGTTACCTTTCTTTAGTAATACCACTGTGGCATCGCAGTTGCTGTTATCGTCCATTTCCGTGCTATTTGCTAAACCGTTCACCATATTGGCGGTGTTTTTTGTCTTCCTTTCAAAGCAGTGATGTATGGTTGAGTTGTACCTGCACAAATGAAACAAACTCTAGATGTACCTTTGCTTCTTCTGTGTGGATTTCTTGACACTCTTCCTTTCCTAGACTCATCTCCTGTGTGACCCAACTAAGGGAGGGAAGAAAACCCCTCTGGTTTTGAGGAAATCTAGCCACAATGTTCCAGAGCTCTAACTAAATTGTATACAGTGCAATCTCTCCATACCCAGAAGGCTATGAAAGATACAAGACATGAATCTTGAATGACATGTATGCTTATGCGTTGTGTGTAATTAATATTCTGTATAGCAAATAATGATTACTTGTCATCATCCAAATTTATTGTTTATCACATAATCACACCTGAACATGAGTGTTGTTTTACCTGTGAAGACTGACCACAGAAACACAGGACCATATGCTAAGTTCCATCTCAACTTGGCGGGGGGGGGGAGGGAAATCTTTGTTTCTTATTTTATTTAGAGTAGCCAGGAGCTGACACAAACATGAGCTGAGGATCTCACCACGATACTCAAAGGCAAGGGTAGACCACTGTGAACACCTGGCCGAGGTCCCTAACCAGGCCGACAACCTCCCCAGCTACACCCAAACAGGTCTGAAACATCTGTTCACACTACAGCATTGCTTTCAGAAAAAAAATCCATTCTAGATTCAGACATTACAATTGTCTGCTTTGCTGGCGAGTTACTTGTTGCAAGGGTGAAGCTACCCTCCACGTTAAAGAAAGTTTCTAGTTATTAGAAGCGAAATGAATTCTGACTTGTGTTCCCTTCAGCCCAGCCTGAGTGTTTTGCTGTTCTCACTGAGAATTGCTCTCACAATATTTACTCTATTCATAGTTTCAAAACAAATCTCTACTCTTGCTTGTTGAGACAAGACCACTGGTGTGCTTGGCAGCTGGTAGGTTTTGTTGAATGTTCCAGTTTAAATCTGGGTTTCCTTTCCACTGGCTTTTAAAAACAAGGCAGGAGGAGGGGAACCAAACAGCAGAACAGACTAGCTTTGCTAGCATGAACTTGTGTGAAAGAAATTACACAGGTCAGATGCTCAGAAAATCAATGTTGATTGTGCTGTAGTTTTATCATGGGTCTCCAAGCAAGCAAGAACAAACTGCTGTGGAGTTCTGCACCCATAAAAAGCGGACTGGAATCTCCCGTGTGCTTATTTCTGAGTAGGGATGCTAAAGTGAAGTCAGAAGAGGCTGCTCTGGAGGGACTCGGAGACGGATTCAGTTCTCTGCTCTGCCACAGACTTGCTGCATTAGCCTTGGTCAGTTCACACAGGGTGAGATCTGTAAAGCATCATCCACCTTTAGATGTCTGAGCCTCGGATCTGTACTATGGGGATAAGCAGCCCCTTCCTGCCTCATCAGGATAAATTACAGATAAGTACATGACAGGGCAAGGTGCTTTAACCCCTGCTATTGGAGGTGCTGCTGGCGTGCAAGCTGGGTGATGCAATGGAAGCCCTGCCCACCGCCTGCGGCTCTCTCTCTAGTTACCTTTGCAACCTCTGGAAAAGCACTGGATCAGGGAGCCTTACAATCTTAACAAGCCGAGGGCACATTTGACTTACTTCATGATAACAATGTAGATGACATACATCAGCACTAAGACTAAGGACTCCCACCTGCGAACAAGAGCGAGACAGAAAACACATCAGAGCAGGACACGGCAGTCGGCTGCCCGAGTTCAGCCATCCCATCTGTCGCGCCATGAACTTGCAGAAAGGCTTGACCCTCTTGGGCTGTCTCAGCACACCTCTAGAAAAGTGGATGTGTAAAGAAACGGCTCACACACCCACGTGTGATGCCTTTGTTGTCTTGACTGCTGCTCTGGTTTTACTTGGCCAAATCAACCCGTCAGCTAAGAACAAGTGACTACACCCAGAAGTTCAGTAAACAAATTGCACACCCAAGGAACACCGACGCTTCTGTAAGGACAAAACCTGCGGGGCTGTGGCAGAGGGAGGGGAGCAGCCATCCTGCTCTGCCTGCATGGGTGTAAAGCAGGTTGTTGGGCTTTTTGAGCATGCTAAAGCACACCAATCATGCCGAGACAACCCGAAGAAGGGGCGGCTGCTCTTTCGCTACTGCTGCTGCATAACCACTGAGAATGCAGCAGGCAGCAGTTGAAACTGCTGATTAGATATTGTCAGGTTCTTCTCCACTGTTCCTGTGTCAAACTAATGAAATTTGTATGAAAACAAAAGAGAATATGACTTTTAGAACTTGTTTCTAGATAATCTTTTTCATTGATCAAAATGCTGTATTCTGCATAGTTCCCTATGGCAAACTGCTAGTCCTTGTGGAAATCATCCACTATCAGGCTGCTATATACTAACACTCGTGAGCCATGTTCTCTTTAAGGATTTTGAGACCTTGCACTAACCATATCAGTATCTCATTCCCTGCTTCTGGCAGTTCAACGCTTGGCTTCCACGTTGATGTGTTTTAGTCGAAGGGCACAGTCAAATACAATTGGGCTTCGAGTCAATTTTAGTCAAAAAAAACCAAAACAAAACAAAGAAAAACAAGCCATTGCAAAACTCAGTGTTTCAGAAATCCTTCGCTGAAATTCAACATAAATCCCCCAGTGAGAACAAGTTTAAGAAAACATGCAACCCCAAAAGCCTGACTCCCCCTAGTGCCTGTAATCTAAATAATACCAGCTGTGAGTGAAATCAAAGCTACCACTGTCACTCTACGAGCCCTGAGAGGTGCTGAAAAGAAAACCGTGAAAGCAAAACAACTGAAAGTACTCTTTTAAAAGTGTCTGAGGCCCTCCTAGCCTATCATACCTATTGCAGTAGATTTAATCACATTCATGGGATTATTAACGTGTATATATATATTTTTTTCTTTCTTTAAACCAGTCATTTGCTCTTTAATATTGCCTTAGGAGCTGCTTCTTTTTAAGTTATTAAATTATTAAAAATCCGAATATTGGAACACACTTATTTATGACTGCTTGGGTGGCCCTTTCCATCCCCAGGTGGCTGACATCCCTGGCACACCGGCACCCAAGCAGCCGCCTCTGCCTCTGCTGAGCGCGCTGCCATCCCCCGGCTGCCGCAGGGTGGGCAGAGGGCACCGACGGCCGCCACTGTATCGGGGAACAGTCTGAGTGATGCTCTCCTAGGCTTTCCTCTCTGGCTCAGAAAATCAGTTATTCTAGCCCATCTTGTGCTGAGGTTTCTCACGCAGCAGGAAACCGCTGTCTGAATCGCCCCGCAGAACTTCTCAGCTTTCCCCTCCTCTCCTGATGAACCCTACTTAGTGCAGCTTTTGTGGTATAACCAGGAAAAAAGGAAAGAAAAGGGATTCACTTACCAGGAAACTTTTTCGTCATAAATAAACTGTGGAGAAAAGGTTTAAAAATAGGCATGTTATACACGAAATCACAGCTGGAAACAGCTCATCACCTGAGCAGGGGACAGAGCGGGCAGAGCAACCCAGGGCTCAGGGCAACGGGATTAAGCTCTGGTCTGTTCTGGCACCACACTCCTGCCCAGCCCTTGAACTTTCCAACCCTTAGTTTCTCTCACCTAGCAAAGGCAGGCAGGTACTCCTTCCCAAATACCACGGGATCCTTGCATAACCGGGGCTATTGCAGCAGCGGAGCAGAAGCGGTTACAGGGCAAACAGAAGTGAGTCAGAGAAGGGGCTGCACCTGCCTGCGAACCGCACGGCCGGCCTCGCCGGAGACACGGCCTCCTCCCCTGACCTGTTCCTGGGTGGCAGCCGGGCGATCAGCGTGCAGATTTACAGCCAGCTCCACAGCTGCCCTGAAATTTCGCTGGCTAAAAACCGGGCCCAAGGAAATAATGCATTTCCTTAAGATCTACGCAATCACCGCGCTAGCTGACTTTAACTACTGTGACAGTCTTTTAGCAGACGGACGCTGAAGCTTTCGTAACAAGGCTGCGCAAGCCTCCTTGGGAAAGAAACGTGTCTCCTCCTGCGTGCGTAAGATGCTCCACGCTAGCGAAGAAACGGCCCAGGCCAGAGAGGCGAAGGGCGTTTGCCCGTGGCGCCGGGTCTCGGGAGGACTGAGGAGGCAGACGCTGGGAGGCGGCCGGCAGGTGGCTGCAGCGCTGCACAGCTGGGCCCTTCCCCCGCCCGCGCC